ATTGTCTCTGTATTGGTAAGCAAAATGGCACAAACTTAAATCTCTTACATTTCCTACATTTTCTCTTATTTATTATGTTAATTATTACATGTCATTTGTTAGACACTTTTATCCAAAGCAACTTACATACATTTAGTACTGTGGACAATCCCCACAGGAGCAATTTGGGGTGAAGTGTCTTGCCCAGGGACACAACGACATGCTGACTCGAACTTGCTACCCCCTGATTCGAAGTCCAGCACTCTATCTACTGAGCCACAGCCGCCCCCGGCGACATTTAAGAAGAAATAAGCATGTCAACTCAGATGCACCAAACGCTCTTAACGATCCAAATCTGCTCCAACCCAGATCCGCTGAATAATGAATCCACTTTATCATAAGTTGGAGGTGTGTTTCTGATTGTTTACTAGCACCATGAACGCCCCTTAACACTCTATAAGGGCAGGGTTGTTGCAGATCATTTGACACATCAAGAATTAGAGCGATGCTACCAAAAGAAACTAGTAAAATTGAGTTAAATAAACGTACATGTTCTTTAAGCTCTTGTTTCCTTGCGTTGGACAGCAATTTGTGGACTTTGTAAACAAGATAATTTGTTATCTTGGTAAGAGTACGCTCAACCATTTCTAAAATGATCTGCTGAAAGAAGAACAGATATAAGAAAACATTGGTGAATCCCAGAAATCAATACACACTTACAAAATAACAAATCTTGGATTCAAACAAAAAATAATAGGACATCTGATATTGGTATGTTGCTTCCTGCTTCCCTCAAAGTGTTCATACCTTTTTTTTTTTTAAACTCTTCCAAGCGTGAGAAGTCATGACTCAGACTTGTTGCACCATGCTTTTACAGAAAACATTTGCTCTACAGAACAAACATGGTTGTAGTTTAAAACAAAGCCAACAGGAGGAGTGAGGTGTGACGACGTTAGGAAATGATTAACGTTTTTTACAGAGTAACAGACAACAGTCTGAGACCTCGGGGTTTTCACCGGTTCCCTGAATGCCTCAATTACTTTTTATTTCCTCTTCCACTGAAACAAACCGGTCGAGGGTTGTAGAAACTTTATCAGAGGTGGGAAGTAGTGGAGTACAAATACTTCGTTACTGTACTTAAGTACATTTTTTCTGGTATCAGTACTTTACTCCACTACTTATTTTCTGACCACTTTTTACTTTGACTTCTTACATTTTGAACACAAATACCTGTACTTTCTACTTCTTACATTTTGAACACAAACACCTGTACTTTCTACTTCTTACATTTTGAACACAAATACCTGTACTTTCTACTTCTTACATTTCCCAAACAGGCTGGTTCCTTTAGTTTGAATGTGTGTTTGGTGGCGTGATCATTATTATTTAGAGTCATTGCGTGCCTATTGATTTGAACACGATCCGTGTATCCATCATTTCCTGGTCTTCTCTAAAGAAGAGGGACCAATGAAAACGTTGTCATGTTGCCGTTGTTCAGCATGGAAACATTCATTAGCTAACAATGACATTATTGTTCTATTAATATAAAGGGAGGTCAGGTACTCTTTAAAACAGCTGCTAGTTATGGGTACTTTTTACTGAAGTACATTTCAAAGCCCATACTTCTTTACTTTTACTTGAGTAAAGAAGTTTAGTCAGTACTTTTACTTTTACCAGTGTATTTTTAAACACGAGTATCTGTACTTCCATGTGAGTAAAGGATGTGTGTACTTTTGCCATCTCAGTAATGCATTTTCTTTCTGGGATTAACATTAGAAACATGTACTCAACAACAATGTGAAGTGCTGCAGATTGTCTCTGACATTTTGAGATGTGATTCAGAGAGGCACTCAGAGGAAAACCTGGTGCTTTCTTTGAGTGCATGAGAGATGACTGGATAATGTTGGAGGTGTTCAGCTGGCACCAGCCTGCCTGGATCCAGTTCATCAAATCTCACAGCGATAAGATACACAGGCAGAGCTTTGACTCAATCCAGGCTCTGTTTTTGTGTCTCGCTTCAGACCATATTGTCCAATTATTAGAATACAGGTAATGATATTTGAGCATGGTTTGAGAAATGAATGTCCGCTTTGTACTGAATAATCTTGATTTTGACTTTTTTTTTACAATATCTGTAGCAGCCTAAGTACATGTGATTATCCTTTACTAGATCGAGAATCTAAAATAATTAGCATTAGCAGCTTATCATAATTTACAATATGATAAGGCATGCATCTTGTTTCCTCTCTTTACTATTTGAGTTGTTTTGGTTAATCCTGTAATGGATCTCAACAACATATGCACATGTATTTTATATCAACTTACTTTTCTCTGTCCTAAATAATAAAACCCTAAACGTTCTGACTTTCAAATGAAAAGTGTCTGTGTGCTCCCGCAGCTTGGTCTTGTTACCATGTACAGACACAACCACAGATATGAAATAATACTGAGCTGACACACAGTTAGATAAGCAGGTCTGAGATTTGGTTCTGCTGTAGCACCTCACAAATTATCACGCTGGCTGTGAAGACGAAGCGTTTCTCAGATTTCTCTCTGATAATTAATTTGTAAAACCTGTTCGGTTGCTGAGACAACACAAACACACACGCTCTAAATAATATCATTTTTCTTTTATGGGCTAAAGTATTGAGAGTGAAATGTCAAATGACACCATCACTGACCTTTAAGATCACGTCTGTAAATATTAACCATTAGGCGTCACACTTTCCAAACCGAGAGAGAACACAAAAGGGGAATTTGTAGATAAGGAGATGATAAAAGAGGCACCTGTTAAAAGGTTTGACACTCAGATGCGGCTTTCACACCGGCGCTTTTCACTTTCTAGCTCCTCGCGAGAGCTTTTCTGGTTCAGCTCCCGTTTCCCTTTTCAGCTCCCGCTCTGTTCACACTGCCCAGAGCTGCCGCTGCTGCGTCATGACGTCACAGTTTACGTCGCTGATTTTCTCCCACAACAACAACGGGCCGGGGACTGCATCGGGTCGATGATCGTGTTGCTTTTAATCATACGAAGCCAGATTAAATTAAATAACGACTTCTCCAACCTTATACTTTTCTCCAGAGTGCCGTGGTTCATTGTTTATTAATGTGTTTCAGCGGCATTTACCGACCGCTGCAGTGCTGGCTGCTCTTCCACGGGAGTGTATTTTCCCGTTAGCTCCGGGTTAGCTCACACGGCTCTAAAGTATTCACTGTCTGACTGTCACACAAGCAGCTGATACATATCCCCAGTTCCCCTTAAGTGAATGTGTGTCAGTCTGAATTGACGCTGTTTGGTGTCAGTCTGAATTGACGCTGTTTGGCATCACAACGCTGTTATGAAAGTTTCTCTGGTATAACATGGGTGATGTTAGCATAGCAACCGAAGCTAAACTGACTACTTGCTAAGCCGTTTCCTATAGGCACATTTTACCGGCGTATTTTTCATTATGATTCTACTTCTGATAGTCGGACATGACAACCTGTACAGCCCATGTATCTCCACAATGATCAATAACAGCGAACGGATGGTCAAAGTAAGGTTTCCTGCACGCCTCGACGTAAGAGACGTAAGCGACGCCGCGTCATAGCTCCGAAGCTCTTGCCTCTGGACCGACAATTTTTTGGAGCTGGAAGTGAACCGCATTCCGGAGCTATGACGCGCCGCCGCTGCGGTGTGAACAGGAAAAACCGGCGCTTTTCAGGCTCTAGCTCCCAGCAGGAGCTGGAAAAGCGCCGGTGTGAAAGGGGTAACAATGAACTACTGATTTTTTTTTCATTATTTAAACAGTTCAAAATGTCATTAAGATTGTATTGACATACTCTGTGTGTTAGGGAGTCTTTGCAAGAAAGTAACTTAAAGGGGCCCTTTTATACTCATTTTCAGGTTCATATTTGAAATGTTTGCCTCTTCTGTGACATGTCTCCAAGCTTCAATGTTCAAAAAGCTCTTTATTTTTCTCATACTGCCTGTGCTGCAGCACCTCTTTTCACCCTCTGTCTGAAACCAGAGCCCAGTCTGCTCTGATTGGTTGGCTCTGTTGTGATTGGTCAACCTCTTAGAGATGTCCCGCCCCTTAGCCTATCACGTACAATGTGTTGGGCTATCTAAAAGAAGTGTGTATTTTTTGGATAAAAAGGCTTGTTTCTATGACAGTTATTTGTATCTGCCCTGTGCATCTAAGAGCCTGAAATCAATATTTTCAAAGCTTCATAGCAAATTTTAACCCAACTTTACTATTTACTGCTCTTATCATTTCATTTCTCTTGTTGTCAGGGAACAGGCCAATAGACTGTTCTTACTTATACCTACAAAGAAGTAATGCACTAATATCGTTCATAAGACGTTGCCCTGTGAAACCAGAAGTGAACATTGACCCGTTTGTTATGTAACTTCCGTACTTAAGTAACACTACTACCCTTGTCGTTTTAACCCAAACCACAAGCTTAAATCTAGCAAAGTACATTTGTTGCCTAACAGGTTCTGCATTACAGTGTTTTGTAAACCACAAACAATGACAGTTACATTTTCATTAGATATCAAACGTACCATTGTACAAACAAACATACAAATTGGTAGAGACCAAAAACCGAGCTAAAAAGATAATATTAATACATTGCATTTATGAAGCACTTGATCAGGTGATCAAAGACTCTTTACATACAAATAAGATGTAAGGTCAAATTAAAATCGAGCAATAAAACAATATTTAAAACAAGGACACAACATTAATCACACATTAAAAGCTAGTCTGAAGAGGTGAGTTTTGGTCAGTGTTTTGAAGGTGGGGAGGTCAAAAAGAGATTGAATATTGGATTTACATTCATCAACTAAACATCTCCAAATGATTGATAATGCTGCTGTGTTACTGCCGTATGTGTGATAAGCTTATCAGCATCAGATGTGGGATAAACATCTGTGAAAATGTGCTTTACAGTGCAAAAAACGACCTTTTCTTGTACCTGTATTATTACATTTGGTCATGCAAAGTGTCTATAACTTATGGAAACATATCTCTCTGCAGACTTCAGTGACCAACTGCTGGAGGTGGTTGGTCTGGAGGGGGCGATCGAGATGGGACAGATCTACACCGGACTGAAGAGTGCCGGACGCAGACTCGCTCAGTGTGCCAACGTCACCATCAGGTAACTCCTCCATCTTTCCCCACATTTCATCCATCCTCCATCTTCCTCCTCTCTCTCCCATCCATTTCTCCTCCTGCTGGTCAGCCAACTGGAAACTTTCTGCACAAAACAATCTACGTTCTCTACATGTATGATCAAAAATGTATTCCTTTTGAGTGTTTTTGTGCAAGGGGTGAAATCCCTGCAGCATCTAAACAATAACTTGGCCCCTGTACCTGATCAATTATACATTTCATATATGCATGCTTTACTGACAGAGCTGCTGGAGGCGAGGGCGAGGTCACAATCACAGGACGAGAAATGATCCGTCTGTGGTGTTGAGTTTGGATTTGGATCCAGCATCGTAATGGCTCTCTTATCCTCCTTCCTCTTGTGCTTCAACAAAGAGCACTCAGCTTTAAGGTGTCTTATTTTTAGCTGTCTGTACTTTACTTGAGGATGCAGCTATTACATTTACAGGAAATGGAATAGGTCAGATACAATAAGAATATTTAAACCTGGATTTAGATGTATCTAGAGAAGTGGACCCATATTTGGTATTTAATAAAACTGCGGATGTTATAAAAATGAGACCAAACTTCTCTATGGTTCGTCAGGTTTTGAGCCAGGAACTAAATGATTCAGGCAGTTTAGAGACATTTTGATATATTAACTCTTGGGAATATCCAGATAAGAGTTTCCTTTTCATGCACGTAGCAAAGGACAGGAGATTGTCAGTGTCAGACGCGTTTTCTCTCATTGAAAAAACCCAGTTCAGTTAAGGCAAGGGGTGGCGAATGTGTTGAAAATGAATGAGGCAGGATTACATCATGGCCCACTCATAATTCCGTCACAAACAACTAAGTCTCTCGCCGTTTCTTGACTTTTTCTGACAAATGTAGTGTTGACTCTTACTAACAGACATCCAAGAGTCTCTAAAGTCAGACGTTTTTCATGGCATCTTTGTGTAAATGGGCCCTATACTACATTCTCGTCCGATTTCAACAAGCCCACGAGCTCACTTTGAATTATCCAGGAAATGAGCGGTTTGATTCACAAATGGGCTGAATTCGACATATCAATTTGTGTTAGGAAGCCGGTAAAGTCTCAAACAAAAGTAATTGGACATGTGCGTTCTCTCATACAGCTTCACCAGGTAATTTATTTTTTTTATTCAAAGAAAGTGGTTTTGTTTCAGATGGTTTTGTTATTCTTCTCAGCCTATTACAGTGAGCCCGGTACTGTAACAGAGAGGAGCCGTTTACATGTCATTCTCTCACTTGTTGTGAAAACTGACCCGACTATTTTCCTAGTCTCTAATTAAAAAAGCATTCATCTCAGTCATTCTCCCATACTGTGTTTCTCTATCCAGAGAGGCATGCATGAAAGTCTTAAACCAACTTTGTGAGTGTGTGTATGTGTGTGTATGTGTGTGTGTTTGTGTGTGTACATACAGTGGGTCTGTGAGTTTAAAGAGTGGGGGCCTGTCTGGGAATGGGTCTCATGGGAACAAAGGGTGCAGTGTGTGACCCTGTCCTGGGGCAGTGTGAACAGGCCTCTCGTGCCTCAGAGGTGTGTGTGATCTGACCTTCACAACCTCACCTCCTAATGAAAAGGATCAGAGAGGAAAAGCGAGAGAGGAGATGAGCTGAGAGGAGAGAGCTATTCAGAGAGAGCGAGAAGTAGGAGAGAGCGAGTATCTGGATATCAGTCGAGAGAGACGAGATCAGCTCAGATCTGAGCTCTCTCTCATCTTCTCTCATTATCTCTCATTTCTATTCTCTCTCTCTCTCTCTCTCTCTCTCTCTCTCTCTCTCTGCCTCCCCCCCATCACCATCTCTCTCTCTCTCTTTGCAGGACGTCCCGGCGGCTGCCCATGCAGATTGATGGCGAGCCCTGGATACAGACCCCCTGCACGGTGAGAGTTCAGTCAATTATTTTCAGATGCATAGGTCCATGAACATGACCACAACATAACACACGGTAGATAGAATCCCCTTTTAGCAATCATAAGAACACTGTTTTTAGAGGTAGATATTGTATTCATGCACGCGATTAACTTGAGCCAGATTCTCAAACAGTGCTTTAAGAAAACAAGATTACTGCACCCCTAATTAGCAAGATCCTGAACTTCATAGTGTGCGATACTGAACCCCCTATCGTAAGAAGAAACTTAAACCCAATTACTTAAGCCACTCCCCGAAAATAAAATAAAAACATATCATAATAAAGGTTTTCAAAGAACATGGCAGCAGCTGGTGGATGACTTCACGCAATGATTGGATATAGAATATAGTCCTGCTCAATCATACTCAAAGACCAAAGAGACCAATATGTCGGTTTTTTGTCCCAGAGAAACACATTTGTTCTGTCTTCTACATACTGATACCGGTTAGTAAAAACCATGAATTAATGCTTTGTCAAGTCTGCAGACAGACGGCAGGCGAAAAACCTTTTAAAATTCGTGTTTTTCTAGATGGAGATTGGCTAAGCTAACGCAGTATATGCCCCGACCGTCCACACTCACAACAACGGCCTATACAGACATAAATTAAGCAGCGACTGTATTCACCATGACACAGGCAGTCTGTGGTGTGTACTTGTTTAACTTTTGTCGAGTTTCTGAACATATATAAGGAGCTGTGAGCTCTGAGTGCTCACAGCTAACGGCTGTGTTGTGTTTCTGGATTTCTCATTGAAGATGACGTCACGGCTCCGCCTACACTGCGTTACTATAGTAACTACCCCAGTTCCTAAACTGTAATGGAAGCGCAGCATGAAGTGAGTCGGCCCTGTTAAGGCCCAACGCGGCCAAGCCGTACCGAGCCGTACCGAGTGTGGCCGAGGCCGACCGTGTAGTGGAAATGCGCCATTAGAGTCCTCTTGATGCCATAGGACAGCCATTTATTATTGAGAGCAGATATAACCAATGCTATGTGCTGCACCAAGTGTCCTCACCTTTTGTCGGGGTCTCCTTTCCTTTCCTCTTTTGTTCACACTCCTCCTCTGCACATCCTCAGCCTCGACGTCCAGCACCTGCATGCAGTTCAGCTATATTCTTCAAAGAAAATAACTAAATAAACTATTATGCCTTTGTCCTGACGATATTTCATATATAGTGTAGGCGGAGGATAGAAAAGCTTTTTCTTGTGTTATGTAGGTTAGTGACAAGGCCATGGCACAGTGAGGGATTTTATAACAGTCTGCGGTGATTCACGCAGCGTCAGAAAATAAAACCCTCTCTCTTTTCGACCGTACCCAAATCTCTAAAAACGGGGCTACAACGGAGCTGATCCAGATTTGCGTCCGATATGATTCATAGACATGTTTTTTATATAGTTTTATATATCTGAGACCTATGCTATTGCCTAAAAATAGCATGATAGGTGACCTTTAAGGTTGATTATTATAATATTCAGTTGCAACTTAATGATTGCTATCCAAACAAATGTTCTCATATTTTGGTTGTTATTTTATAGTTTTATAGTTTTTTCACAGTAATATAACTATTAACTAAAGTTGTATAAATGATAATAGGTATAAATTGCTTTATAACATTGAAAAAAAGTACAATGTTATTACTGATGTCTAATTATTTATTGACATTTCCTTTTTACCCCTATTGTTAAAGGTAGGGTAGGTACATTTGAGAAACCGGCTCGAGATCGCTAGAATTTGAAAATACACAACCGGAGAAAATCTGCCACTTCCTTACAGAGCCCCTCCTCCAACACACACAAACGCGCACATGACCAATGAGGGCACGAGATAAGTTTGTGCACAGATGGAAGGCTGACAGGCAGGTAGGCCATCCAGTATCAGAAACGTTGCTATCAGAAACAATGGCCGACTGTTTTGGACGTAATATGGTCGGTGTTTACATTAGCATCGCTAACACTCAGAGCTAACCTGTACTGGAGAGCATGTGTGTGAAGAAGCAGGAAATAATAGTAGTAGTATTTTATAAATTATTTAAGCTTTTAATTGTATTAATTTTGTTTTTTTTAATTAAAATATTAAATGTTTAAATAAATGTATTATTTTTTTTTATTTATTTTTTTTTTAATAACTTTTTTTTTAAATAATCTTTAAGTAGAGAGGATGTGTGTTTTGCTGCCATCTCCATTTTTGTATTTTTATTATCTCTTTGTTGCATGAGAAAATAACAAATGTTACCATATCTATACGTTAACCTTCTCCATCTGATTCTTACAGATCAAGATCACCCACATGAACCAGGTCCCCATTCTGCTGGGCCCTCCTCAGAAGACGCCGTTCTTCTTCTTCAAGAAACGCAACCACAGCCGCGACTAGGACACACACACACACACACACACACAAACACACACACACACACACACACACACACACACACACACACACACACACACACACACACACACACACACACACACACACACACACACACACACACACACACACACAAACAGAGACACACACAGCACATATGCACAAACACACACATGCCACCCACTGTATAGGCAGCTCCACTGTTGGGAGTTTAAAGTGGGATCACATCGTGGAACATTCCCAAAGTCAGGACGCCTACAGACAATTTATTCCCAGAGGAACCTGCAGTGATGAAAAGTGAAAACTCTCAGTAACCAGTATCGACCTTTTCCTGTGTAACAAATCATCTACTCGCAAAACCTCCATCCCAAATACAAGGATTTTCGTTTTTCTCGGCCCAAAAAACTCAGCGAGACCTGCACTGCCTGATAAACAAAACTCTGTCTGCTGGGAGTCCCTTGCAAAGTAGTACAGAAAGTGAAATTGAGTTAAGGAAAGCAGGTTGTATGATGGGAAATAAAGAGCTCCAACACTACAGTAAGCAGAATCGGCAGTAGTCCTTGTTGTTTGCAAGGCCGGTGAGTAAATAGAGATCCACCTCTCGGTTGAAACACACCGAATGAATAATGAAAAAGCGGCGGCTTGTAAGAGCTCTCGCTGCAGGGCCTCCCCACAGACTGACAGCGGAGAAAAGGAGAGAGCCCTCATCCATTATTGACTTGTTTTGTTTGTGGGGTTGATGGCAGTGGGGCGTATGGTATGGGTTGAAACCTGCAGGGAATTATCTTAGCCCCTTTTTTTGGCCTACAAAACCCCATCCTTTAAAGCGTATTTACACACTTTGTGGAGGATCTGCTGGAAGACTTCAGGCAGAGGAGGTTCCTATCTCAATGTGCACAGATTTCACTGTATAAATTAGTCTAGATGGAAAGTAGAGATAGGAGAGATTGGGGTTTGTTTTTGCGTTCTTATGGAGAGACACTACAGGTAGAAACACGTTTTATCATGCACTCAATTTTACGATTTTGGACTACTTTTGCTTTCATAACCTGTCTTCTTTTAGGCAAGCAGAGACATACAAATCCAGGTGTTTATTTAATTAATTCTATGGATTCTCCTGAATTAACAAGAAGTTAGTATTACATAATCCTCATTTGCATATTTAAACAGGACATTTGTGGGAACTGGATCATGGTGATATCTATTAAAATGACTTCCAATTTCTCCTGTAGTGTTTGGCAAAATATAGGAATTTTACCATACATATCATTCTGTTTTCCAAAGAAAATGTAACTTTATTACCGTTTACATACACCAAACTTTCCATTTTCATCCCTGTCTATGTTGTGAAGCTTTTTACTGAGAGCTGTGTTCATATGTCAATCAGAGCCTGATATATTGAGCTTTTAATTCCTGAAAACATGTCGAAAATTGGAAAGATTATTGGAAGAGCTTTCCGAAAATCCCTCTGTAAAAACCTTTAAATCCAAGTGAAACAAGATTTTTAAATCTGGGTTTATCCAAGGTTTAGATTTATGCAAATAAGCACATATTTAATAACATAATGCCTCATATGCATATTTAAACTTATCAGAAAATGTGTAATACAAAGAATATCATCCTAATGGAAGCAATCAACTGGGGAAGTTTCATGATGACATGTATTCATTATATTTTTCCACTGTAGTGTCTCTCCTTAAGAAACTCTAACAATCCTACAGTAATTGTATGAACAACAGCTCCTGTGCACCGTGTGCCAAACAACACTTCCAGTGGGACAGAATTTAAATAAATCCTCTCAAGGGTATAACAGCAGCACCCTGGGGTTTTATTTACCAGAGCTTTGACAGAGGAACTAAATGTATCGCTCTATTTCAGGGTCTATCTCTCCTCTAATGAAACTCTACACCTAATTACCGTGTCAAACATCAACTCACAATGTCAAGTGTGCAAATCCCAGAGCCGTCCCTACTGCTTTAAAGCATTCATGATGAGTTGCACCAAATTAAATGGGATTGTAATGGACGTAAAAGACATGTTAGGAGGACTTATGTTTGATGGAAGATATCATTCGGAGTGTAATTCAGTGTTTTTAAAGAATGTATCCATATTACTGTCCCCACAATATGGCAAAGTATATAATACGGTGTGTGCAGAAGGCGTATATATGTATATTTCTGGAAAGTAGGAGTAGCTCACATATACTGTACACGCGAATGTGTTTTTAATATATCATTGTTATTAATGTGGAAATCTTAGCTTAGAGGAGTTCGGATCAGTATTCTTCGCCGTGCCGAGCCGCTGCAGTCTCTCTCTCTGAAGGCAGTTCCCCACTTTGTCTGATGCTCATTGCATTGGATCTGTTTAGTTTTGTTTCATCTTGGCTTAGTCTTTGCTTGATGAAGAAACAAGCACAACAAATGCATCAAAATTACAGAATGTGTGGCAAAATTATCTCTCACTTCGAGTTTTATACATGGTCTTCGTCAGTAAATGAAGTCATTAAAGTGTTTGCATCCCGAAAAGCTAAACACAATTTAAGCAGATAGTGGTATAGCCGTTTATATGTTTCCCAAAAAGACACAAGAAATTACGGTAAAGAAATGTAATGATACTGTGTGTTTTAAGGTAATTTAACAAAAATAATTGACGGTCTTTGAGCTAAATGGTATTGTGGCATGCTAACATGGACGCAATGATAATGCTAAAATGCTATCTTAATTAGGTGTGGTTCACCCTATTTTCCAGCTTGTTAGCATGATAATGTTTGCTAATTAGCACTAAACACATCGGAGCTTGTCACTATTTGTGTGGTCTTATTGGCTGTACCAAGTTACAAATGGCTGTCCATTCAATAGTTTGTATAGACGTTAAGCTAAAATCCACTGATCTGAAGCTAGTTTTGGCGCTATAGAGGAACAGGAGGATTTATCAACTGAGGACCAAGAATATTACATCCACTAATTGTTGAGTAATATGAATCGTGACCAAAGTGGTGGACTTGCCGAACAACATACAAATTGCCATACTTAAAGCCATGGATAGCTTAAAACTAAATACAAGTTTATTCTTGAAATGTAAAATGTCCCACACAATGGATATCCTAAATAGACACACATCAAAAATGATACATGCTGACAAAAAAAGACAGAATATGAACTGACATAACCTCGCCTTTTCTTAACTCTCAACATCTATATTGGCAGCAAACGTAGTTAAAGAAATTAATGGACCTAGAAATGTTGTCACACACACTCACCCTAAAGCTAAAAAAGCACCAAACCAGACAAGCGTTGAAGTTCAACCTGCAGCAAGCTACCACGCAGTCCTTATGAAGAGCTGCTGCAGAGAGCAACACAAAGTTGGGAAGTTATTGCATCCCATTGCGGCCATACAGTACCGAAAAAAGAGTCCTGTGATATCCTGACATATTACAAAGGATATTTTCCTGCCTGACATATAAGAACAAGCATCCTGGCTACAGAAAACAATATTATTGCGGCAACTGCTCTTTGCCAACCTTTTCAAAGACAACGTAAAAGTGTGATTGTTAAATGATCCATTGTGTGATTTGAGTTAGATGATTGTGGGAAACTGTCTGCTGTAAAGTGGGTTTTAACAGCAGGACGGAGAGAGACTGATGTACGCTCTGACGGTTCAAACTGAGCTCCACTGTAGGGTCAGGCTTTAAATGCCTTTATACCCTTTTCCCTTTAAAATACACTGAGCCAGTACTCTTGCACTCAGGCCCCTTGTTTAAAAACAGAGTATGGAGTTAGTCATGTGTCATTCGTATCCAAAAGAAACCCAGAAAAACAGCATATCATAATATTTTCAGGTCACTAATGGAGCCTGGGTGCTAATGGCGCATTTCCACTGCAGCGCGTAGCACGGTTTAAGCGTGCCGTGCCAAACCCGGCCCGATTTTGGTGGGTTTCCACTAGGGGTAGTTAGGCTAACGGGTACTCGTTCACAGTTTTTCTGGCCCTCCTAAATCGTGGTTCTTTCCGGGCCAACAACCGGGCTGAATATGCTAAACTATTGACGTGACACAATGAACATATTTTACCGTGATTTAATTGTAATACACCTTTCAAAATGATGCCGAAGTAATGACATACTGATACCGGTTAGTAAAAATCATGAATTAATGCTTTGACAAGTCTGCAGACAGACTGCAGGCGATAAACCTTTTAAAATGCGTGTTTTCTGAACGGAGATCGGCTAAGCTAACGTTGTATATGCTCCGACCGTCCACACACTCACAACAACGGCCTATACAGACATAAATAAACCAGCAACTGTATTCACCATGACACAGACAGTCTGTGGTTTGTACTTTTGTCTAGTTTCGGAACAGATATGAGGAGCTGTGAGCTTGAGGGCTAACAGCTAACGGCTGATGTTGGTTTTGTGGTTCGCATTGAAGATGACGTCACGGCTCCGCCTACACTGCGTTACTATAGTTACCGCCCCAGCTACTAAACTGTAATGGAAACGCAGCATAAAGTGAGCCTGGCCTACCAAGGCCTAACTATACCGTACTAAGCCGCGCGAGGCCCTGCAGTGGAAATGCGCCATAAGAGTACTCAGTGAGAAAAGAGTGCATGTTTACAGTAACTTTACATTTATTGAGAGAATTGTTTTAGACAGCTATATTACCAAGTGTATATATTTGTTTATAATATTTTATCTGAAGATGCATCACCGCATGCCTGCTGAGACAAAAGAAGAGTGAACAAAGAGTGTGGACTATTCAAACTTTGCTTAAAACCATTTACCTGATATATTTATTTCTTGTGGTTTCCTTTTTAAATGTTTTGTTGGCAGCTAGAAGAAGCTGTCTTGTTCCATTAAAACAAGGAAAAGAAAGTAGTATTCCCAGAGGAAGTTTCTAACATTACAACATCCATTTGTGATTTATGGTAGAATCAAAATGGCGGCAACATGCACGCCCACACAGAGCCTGAGTGAGTGAATTTCCAATATGTGTCACAAATCATGTCTATTCCTGTCCTTTGAAGTAATCAATTGCCT